ATCTGTCCCTTATGATGAGTGCTATGCACTTCCAAGGTGCTCTCAGAGTAATAGATGTCCATTTGCTTTCTCAGTCATAGACGACTCTGACATTTTCACCCCTTCCGTCTGCAGCGGTGACAGTAATGATACAGCTATAATTCAATATGTGCGTCCATGGCACAGCAATTAGGACTCTCGACGACCATGCAAATGGTCCGGGGTTCGATCCCCTGCCGACAATCACCTGATATCTACGGTCGGCCTGCAAAATTTGGGCCACCGATATCACATGCTGAGAATTTCATACCTGTACCAAAAAATGCGGTGTGGAATCAAGCTGTAATAAAAAAAATACAAATTCATTTTGAATAACCTTCAAACAGTTCATGACTGAAAGACAGATTAAGACTTGTTTATAGAAAGTTTCAGTTTATAAGGGGATATGTAATAAATTTTCTCCATTTTCCAAATTAAGACAACACTACTCTTACAATTTTGCTTTGTGATATTCCTGTATATATCAGGTGAAAGCAAAATTATCTTATATATATATATATATATATATATATATATATATATATATATATAATTCCCTTGGATTCCGAGTAAAATATACGGCATCGTCAGCACATCGACTTTTCACCTACTTTCCTGTATATATTTTTTTGGTGGGATGGATGACTGTTCTACGCTTTCATCTACTCATACGATTTTCTCCATGTCATTCTTGAACTCAAAACTGGTTGTTTTACTTCAACAGGACATCTCTTTTGTATTTATTTCTCTGAAATCTTATTTAATCGATTGATTAGATGCCTACAAACTTCCATTTTCACCTCCCACATTCTCCTCCATGTTACGGTCAGACGCCTAACTCGTCTTTTCTACTCTTGAGGGTTTGCCAGCTTGTGTCCATTCCGGTTTCACTACCTCCAGCATATTTGTTGGGTAGTAGGTTTCTTGGCAGTTCGTTGCTAGAGTTAATTGTTGCTCATCCTTTTTGGTTGGCAGTCGGCAAGGATGAAGATGTCAAAACCAGTCAGTCAGAATCGGAAAGGCAAGATACGCCTTCATCAACCTGAAACCAGTTTGTAAATCTTCTACACTCAGTATAAGTCAATCAATTCTTCTATGTGGATCGGAAACTTGTACTGCGTGTCAGTCACGAATAGGATTTCCAAAATACCACTGCAGACTTTTATCAACAGCTGCCCTCTTAGCTGGCTCCATAGTGAAGATCAAATAGCCAACCCGACAGAAAGAATTAACAACAAGAAATTCTGGCTGATAACAAACCGACCAAAAGCCGATCGCTAAACAAATATGTAAGAGAAAATGGAGATGGAGGCCGTCGAATGACATCGCGTTCAACCAAGGATTTTGCTTGAGCGGAATTCCAATGGAAAGCGACGATTAGGTCGTCAATGCGAAGGTGACAAGGAGGAGATCGTTTGGGGGAGAAGGAGATGAGAGATTATGGTCAAATCGTGGCAAATACCCATCCTGGATTTGACATCAGCTTCTGTGTCGTCTATAGTTGAAATGATACCACGTCTAGGTATTTAGAAAAACTGGACGGTTTGTAAAGGCATATTTAGATTAGGAAATATTCCAACAGAACAGTTAATAGAGGTGACATGAACACTAATCTTCGAAATGAAAATAAACAGAGTAAGATTAACATTTTTGTATCAAATATCAGATATCTTGATTCTCACATAGTTCGATTATTTTTATATGTGTATGAACATTTTGCACTTAAGTTTGTTTTCTTGATGTTATGAAAACTAATAGCTTACTACTAATGCATTTTTAAACTTTGTATTAAAAGGTGTCCAACTACGAATATTGAATACGAAGTATCATTCACTTACAGCGATGGCATTCCAAAAAGAAGTGGAAAAAAAATTAAAACCTGAAAAAGCAAAAATACATCTGAATGAGTAAAAATTAGTTGAGGGAGAGAGAGGGAGGAATGGAGGGCAGAACAAATATGCCGATTCTGAATGTTGGTTACTCCATATCACTAAATGATAGAAACTAGAAAATATAACCCCAATAATTTCTAAGTCCCTCGTTTAATAGGAATCTGCTGAGTTGAATATCCTGTGGTCACGTATAGTTGATTAGTCCATAATTCAAGGGGAATGTTCAACAGACGTTGATTATTTACATTTTAATACGTAACGTTGTTTTCTGTTAAGAAATACAATAAAAGTAATAGATTTCTTAACACCTTTAATTTTTTTAATTACAAATGTTTCCGATATTTCGTCATTGGTTCAGTGGTCAAATTTTCGTCGCGTGGACGAGGTTCAATTCTCAGTCCACGAACTGCTAGACCTCGCTCAACTTACTACCTAGTGGTAGGCCTTGGAAAAATTGGAAGGTTGGACATGAGGCCAGAAACGCCACTCTTTAAAAACAATACCAACACCACTGAAATCTCAAAGCTCGAAGCCTTAGTGTGTAAGCAGTGAAAAAAATTGTTCACATCTCACGCAGGTGGCGTGCCAGATCCCATGCAACATAAATGGGCAGTCAATGACTTCTCTGGTTGATGATTGTGTCATGTGATGAAAAACACCTTTACAGTTTATGAGACTTTTTCATTCCTTCCAGTACCCAGTAAAAAATAAAAGGGCTTCAAGTTATAAGCTTTGAAGTTCGAGTAAGAGTGTTGGTTTCACGAGATGACGCTGCTAGCCTGGAGGTAAACTTTCCTTCTTCCCCAGATTTATTGTTGGCTTGTCAACTAAGTCAGGCTTGACAGTAAGTCAGGTGGGGATCGAACTCCCGAACGACACTCGTGTTTGGCGAGCATTCTACCAATAAGCCACAAATATTTCTCCAAAACACTAAAAGAAAATGTCGTGTTAAGAAATTTAGGATACATTTCATTAAGTATCGTTAGTGCAGTGTAGCTTTTCTCATTTCTGAAGCGGTCATTCAAGTACTATATCCCCAACACAAAACGCCTTATTCAGAAATTTATCGTAAATCAATGTTTCTTACATACCTTTAAATCAAGACCGATTTCTGACTAAAAGTGAATCTGAACGAAGAATATTCTTTTCAGTAATTTATCTTCAGGCCCTTACAATTATAAAATATAATATTCATTGCCGTTTTAATAATAGCCAGTTATGTGGCGGATACCTTTTTTAAAGTAGAATAACAGACTAGTTATGGTGTGTCAAAATAAATAGTATTTGTAAGGCAAACGTGCTCGGTTGAAATTGATTACAAAATATTGTAAATTGGGAGACGATGGTGGTGATTAGTCATAATAGACAGTTTCGTAGAGGAAAAATTGACAAGTCAGTTCAAGGTTATAAAAGGTGTCAGGTGAGTGGCTAGTACAAAGTGGTCTGTGTTAAACAGAAGATAGTAAGGCTGCTATGAGAGGTCCATAATGAAATAACAAATGTGTGAAATGAAACAGATGGAGGCGTATTCTATTGAGAAAAAAAGATAATATCACTAATAATAAGTCCGTATAGTATAAACGGAAAATTCTATAGTATTGAGAGAATGTTTTCACTAGGGGTATAAATTATGACGAATTATTATAATTGTAATAGTAAGCAAAGAAAGAAAATGGGAGGGTTAAGGGGAAGAAGCACTATTAGTGAGAAGAAGACTCATTATTCCAAAATTTGGCCTCGGTAGGAACAGCGTCTGAACGTGTTCTTTTTGAATGTAAAGTTCCGGTTTAGCCGACCTTATTGCAACAACTTCAGCTATATTTAGGAAACATCAGCGAACTGTACTTGATAAGGACTTCGGAATTCTTCTTGCATCCTACCTATTCTTCTTTATTGCTCACCCTTATTCTTTCCTGGTTTGCTTAAAAAGGACTATGTCACAATTCGTAGAATACTGAAAACTGTCAGTAGGGTGAGTGGTGTCCCAGTGGACCACACAGTCAATGTTGTTGTCGATAGGCACTTGACTTCGTGCAATAAGTTTGCTAAAGGGATTTTGTCTGACTTGGAGCATCCACTTTACCCTCAGCTTCCTTTCACCTTGCATCTCCTCAGGTAGAACAACAAGTAACTTCAGAAAACTGTATGCTCGCACGTCTAAGTATAAGAATTCTATGATACCATACTTGGCACGTATTTTATGTGATAGTGAAAATAGTGTCAGGCAAGAATTAACTAACCTTTTTTCATCTAGTGAATAAACAATTTCCTCCATCCATCCTTCCTTAAATACCTTCAAGTTTTACTTTTATTATCTCTATTACATTTATAGTCCTTTTGCTTCTTTGTTTTACTCTCATAATTGCAAACACCAACTTATCTCTATGACTGCTTTAATCTTTGTTTTTCCCCCACCATATCATGTAAACAGAACATTATATTCAATATTTTTAAACATACTAGGATTTCTATACCACATTGCCAATACTGTGTGACACAAGCCAAAGGCAATTTTCACCTGTATTCTTATTATTATTACCCTAGCTGTTATCATTATTATTGTTATTTCCATTTTATATGCTGCATGTTTTTGACACTACCTCTATTGTAAATGTGGAAAATTTTCCGTGTGATTAATTTTATTTATAATTTGAGGAAATTAGATGCAAGGTGTTGTGATTAATACTGAAAATTCCATTCTGTATCATAAGTATTTTTTTTGAATAAAGTAAATCATTATTATTATTATAACCTTGAAAGCTGTGTTAATGTCGATGCGATGTCCAGTATCGACCAAGTGTGACAGAATCGAGCTTTTAGTGCATTTGATTTCTTCCCTGCTAGACCAAGCTGGTGAATGTTCTCGAGCCGTGAGACGAACCTGCCTAATCGTGTGCCCTATATAACTTGAACCAAAGGAACAGTTGAAATGATATGTGCATGAGGAAGAGCCAAGGTTAAATAAGGCATCTTTCAATTTCTAGGTGATCAATGAATGGCTGCTGATGGAATCTCTGCGGAAGCATCTCCCCTGAATCGTAGACATAAAAATTGACCTTCAATGTTTCAAATTTTGTTTTTCTTTTTCAGCTAATGAATGAACCCCCGATAACTTCATTGCCTCATTCACAGTCAAGTAAACCAATTATCTCTACACCATTATCATCAATTGTTGAAATACACTCAACCCCTTCAAATAACCGTTTAATCAATTGTAATAATACCTCTGGGGATAGTGAAAGAATTAAGCGTCCAATGAATGCATTTATGGTATGGTCACGTTTACAACGACGTAAAATGGCTGAAGAAAATCCAAAGTTGCATAATTCTGAAATAAGTAAACAATTAGGCAATTTATGGAAATCCCTAACTAATGCTGATAAAATTCCATTCATTGAAGAAGCTAACCGACTACGTGATTATCATATGAAACGTTATCCAAATTATAAATATTGTCCACGAAGAAAACGTAAATCAGCAAATGTGAAAAGCTTATCGTCATCATTATCACAGTATAAAATGAAATCAACAACTGATCTACCAATAGGATTAATTTTATGCCCAACTCGTACGAATTCTTTCCAGGCGACAAGATTAACTACTAGAGTTTCGCATATTGTAACGGCAACAACAACAACAACAACACCAACACAACCATATCATAAAATATGCGGTCCACTAATAACGCATACAATTAGACCGCAAGAAGTTATGCGGTATGAGCCTAATTATAAATCAGAACACTTCATACTACCGTCGTCATCATTGTCATCATCTATTAAAATGACACAAGTGTACACTACACCGCCTATAGCGTCAGATTACTATCCTCCGGATAATAATACAGCAGCCTACTTCCAGTCAACTGATGCAAATTATACACCTTATAAAATTCAGCTGTCGAATACATCTCATCTGATCAATGATATTCGAAATAATTATACAACAACTGATTATATTGATGAAATGGAATCTTATCCTCACTTGAATGTTTGTCAACCTTTCAACACTACCTCTACTTCTAATAATAATAATAACAACGATAATAACAACATCGTAAATACAAATAACCATGAGACTTCCATTTACAATCATTCACATTCACCTGAAATGTATTCAGGATTTTTAGATTCAATTGATTTGAAAACATTTTTCTAAAAAGAAAAACTTATTCTTCTGAGATTTTTATGCCTACTTATTAGAGAGTGTTGATTTAAACACAAACAGACAGACAGTAATGTAGTTTTATCTTTAGATTACTAGTAACATATCACAGAGACAAAATTATCTGTATTCCTACAATCTGTTACCTCTTACAAAATAACAGTGAGATTTTTGGAAAAAAGTCTTGAAATTCTTTCAAATATTTTGTGGTGTATTCTCTTTTTTTGGATGTAATAAGTGTTGAGTTTAGTGAATTGACATATGTAAGAAGCAATGAGATACTAGATTTCGTCCCAGTTGTTGAATGATGGACATGTTTGGTGTGTCAACTGAATGTTCTAGTTTCTATCCTTCCCCGAAGTGGGTGGGGGATTTCACTGGTGCTTACTGCTGAAGTGCCAAGCAAAACAACTGGACTGTTGGGGTTTATTTTGGTGCTTCTCTTACTGATATCAGTTCATCATCTACCTTCAACACCAGAAGACACAAGTTTCTCAACAAATATTTTGAAATTAGCAACTTTTCTTCTCAAATTAACTCTTTGTATTTAAGTAGACGATATTTTCAGGGTATTTCTTTTCAGAAGATGTCTTTAAAAGTGTTTAGATTTTATTATTATTATTATTATAATAACCTCATCGTAATGTGAATTGTTCCACTCAGGGTCGACGAGTCGCTACTCGTATCTTAGTGATTTTTAATGTTCTTTTTTCCATCATTCTTTGTACATTTTTTACAAATTAATATGATGAATGCAAATTTTAAAAAATCTTAAATATTTACCAACTTCGATGGCTGCAGTGCGAAGCTGTACTGTCAAACATTTTCTGACTGTATTCAAGTGTCAGTATTTAGTAATATTCAACTTGAGTTAACTTGTGTCCACGTGTGTGTGTGAGAGAGAGTGAAAGACATGATTTATTTGGTCAAAATAAATTTGATTTGTCTTTCTTAAGAAATTCTTTTCTATTGTGTTATATATTACGTCTTTTATTAAATTGAAAAGAACAAGAAGTTCAGCAAAGATGGCGATCTTTTCGGCGATTTCATTCTGAAAAAGGTGTACAATCGCATTAAGATACATTAATTCACATGGATACAATTATTATCTATCTATTTAATTCTACATAGTAACGAAGGTGATAATAATTTTCAACTTGATATGAAAGTTTGAAGGTACGAATACAGATTACAAGCGGCTTAGAGACAAGATTCCATAGGATTAGAAAACAGTTACAAAGTATGCAAAATTAGTATTTGATAAGTGGAGAAATAATTTTAAAGGCGAATAAAAGGTGATAATTGTTTTCAACTTGATATGAATTACAAGAGGCTTAGTGACGCAGGGATAGAACGAATTACAGGTGAGAACGAAATGAACATGGAAACAAATTGAAATCAAAATTTTCAACTTGAAATGTAAGTTAGGAGGTGTGAATATAGAAAACAAGAGGCATAGAAACAAAAAATTACACAGGATTAAAATGTAATTGTAAAATGGTTATTCTAAACGGATTACAAGTGTGAACAGGAGGAGCATGGAAACAAACTTAAAATAACTGATTTTATAACTGAAAAATAGGATGAATTGAATGAAGGTAGGGAGAGAAAATTACACACATAGGTAACAAAACAAAAAACCTGAAGGATAAGGGAACAAACATAACTAGGTCCATGGTAGTTGTAAAGGCTGGACTAGTTTGTTTTGAAGATATAGCTCCCGCTTTTCTATGCATATGGCGCGAGCTTCCGCAGTACAATTAAATTATTAAGTTGAAAGAAAGTGGTGAATAACATTTTGTCTGCGTTACTGATATAAGTATAAAACTTGGGCACTGTAGTGTAGTATAATTCCATTGCGGATAAAACTTATTTTGATAAATCATACAGTGTTGTACAGTAATATTTACTGATGACCACATTTCGAGCACAATTTACTGCTCATAATCATATCAGGATGTACTCACACAACGTTTTTGCTTCATTTATTCACATGAGTAAAATTGACTAGACATTTGAATAAAATAAGATAAAGTACACTCAGCAATAATATTAGTGTTATCAATCAAATACAAACAGATGGGAAATAAAATGTTTTTTTACAGTAAAAATAAGTAGGTTGTTAGAATGTTAGAATGTATGTGAATTGAAGCAGAATTTTAAGATTATTTATTATCCTTCTCTGATTTGACTGGCGGTAATAATATCTTCCATATCTCTGGTATATGCATTCTTATATTCTGATAATCTCACTCAGAGACAAGCTCTGTAGGTTAAAGGACCCGCTGGACCCAATTAAACAAAATAATATTATTCTTATTATTATTGCTCCCTTGGGTTCCTAGTGGAACATAAGGCTTCAACTGCACGTCTCCATTTTCTTCTGTCTTCTGCTATACTTTTCGCCTGCATCCATGTTAATCCATCTTCTTTCAACTCCTCTTCACACGATCTCCTCCATGTCACCCTTGGACGTCCCACACGCCGCTTCCCTTTCGGCCTGGTTCCACTCGAGGGCTTGGCGCGCGATGTCATCCAGCGGTTTCCTCAGCGAGTGTCCGATCCATCTCCACTTTCTCCTGCATATTTGTTGGGCGATTGGTTCTTGCTTTGTTTGTTCCCATAATTCCTTGTTGGTGATTCTTTCCGGCCATCTGATCTTCAGTATTGAGTGAAGACAGTTGTTAATAAAGGTCTGCAGCCTTTTGGAAATATACTTTGTGACCCGCCAAGTTTCTGATCCGTATAGAAGAACTGACTTTACGTTTGTATTGAAAATCCTACCGAATTTTGTTGGTGATGCTGAGTGACGAAGATTTCCAGATTGGTTTCAGGTTGATGAATGTGTTTCTCGCCTTCCCGATTCTCGCTCGATTTGACATCCTCGTCCGTTCCGACTCCCTGTAGTTGAGACAATGCTCCCTAGCTAGATGAGTGAATGAAGTAACCTCTTTCAAATCCCTCCCGCTGATGGTGATTGACGCTGGATGTTGTTACTGTTGTTGGTTGGTTATTTTCATCACCTCCGTCTTGTCTATGTTTACCTGGAGTCCTGTCTTTGCCGACTGCTTCTTCGACCAGTTTGTCGGTTTTCGCTTGTAAGTCTTCGATTGTGTGTGACATCAAACATAAATCATTTGCGAAATCCAGGTCTTCTAGGTTCTTCACGTCGGTCGGTCCAGGATATCCCTGTTCCTTTTCTCCTTTCCCACTGTCTGACGCATAATCCAGTCAGTCCACCACAATTAGGAATATCATTGGTGATAGATAATAAGCACACTTGTCTGACTCCTGTGTTTACTCCAAACGCCTCGCTGAGTCTTCCGTTGTGGATCACTTGGCAGGTGCCGTTGTCGTACAGCTGTTGAATAAGGTTGATAAATATTTGGGGTACGCCGTAGTACTTGAGTAACTTCCAAATTACTTCGCGGTCAACGCTGTCGAAGGCCTTCTCAAAGTCTATAAAGTTGAGGTAGAGGTTTGATTGCCATTCCATGCTTTGTTCGATGATGATGCGTAGAGTTGCAATTTGGTCAGTACATGATTTTCCTTTGCTGAATCCAGCTTGTTCTGGTCGGAGTTCTGTCTCCAGTGCTTTATTATTATTATTATTGTATCCTTTAGTTCCTAGAGGAACATAGGGCTTCAGCTGCGCACCTCCATTGACTTCGGTTTTCTGACAACTTTTTCAACCTGCTTCAGGTCTGTCCACGTGCTTTACTTTACAAAATACTTTGCAATGACTCTGAGTTGAGTCAACTACATAAACCACACCAGTGGATCAGAAGTAGTCAGTTTAAGAAAACATAAGAATTTAACTAAGGTAAGAATCGTTGACCCCGAGAAGATAAGTAATTTAGAAAAACACTCAAGTGCACTGCATGCATTAACACACAATCGCACAATAGGGTGGGATAGATTCAAAATTCTAAGAAGTAATATAGGTAGGTGGAAAGGGAGAGAGATTACTTACTGAATCCTGCCTGGTTCATCGAGTCTTCACCCAACACTTGCAATAAGGATGACTCAATGCAAATCCCAGAGATATGGAAGATATCATTACCACCAGTCAAATCGGAGGGGATAAATAAATAACCTTATAATTCTGCTTCAATCCACATATATCATAACATTCTAACAATTTAATTATTTTTACCGTAAAAAACATCTTATTTCCCATCTGTTTGTATTTGATTGATAACACTAATATTATTGTTGAGTGTACTTTATCTTATTGTATTAAAATGTCGAAATAATTTTACTTATGTATTTAAATGAATCAAGAAAGTTCTGTGAATAACTTGATATGATTATGAGTAATAAATTGTTCTCGAAATGTGGTCATCAGTAAATATCATTGTACAACACTGGGATTTTGTTCACATGTCTATTAATTTGTTGAACACTTAATTACTCTGAAATTTTCACTGTTTTATTGATAAACTACTTAAAGGAGACGAGATGTTTTACATAACACAAATCTAGGGTATAACTGATTCAGAAAATAAAGTGGTAGAAGTTCCATGCTTAGTTTGTTCAGTCAGAATATTCCTACCTGACATCATCTGTTTTTTTATTCCTTTACGTTCCCAGTGGAACATAGGGCTTCATGCTAGAGGCTTGACGTTTCGGCAGCAGTGGTGTTTATTTTTACAGGATGGGGTTGACAGCCTCATGCCAAAACTTCCTTCTTTACCAGTCGTATTACTGGCTTAGTGAGGTGAAGGAGTGTGTCGGCTGGGAATTGAATCTCGTAGAACATGCATGGTCGACAAGCATTCTACCGCTGTGCCACTGACGCAAAGACATCAACTGAAGCGACATAATAAATTATTTAAATCCAAGAGCCCATTGCTCAACAAATTTATAGAAGAAAATTGAGACGGTTTGAACATGCACACTGAAGTAACACGACACTCCAGAGAGACTCACAGGTGGAATCCAAAGCGACGCAATGAGCTCAAGTTTGAAGGTGACATGGAAAAGATGATATGAAGGCAAAGTGAAAGCTTGCAGGTAGTTTTGGAGGTAGTTGGAAATGATTGTAGAGAAGTGAGTGAAATGTGGATTTACCTCTGAAACGTATTGTTCCACTCAGAATGCAAACAATATGACATAGTACTCACTTTCATCATCAGATGGAATATGATAGAAACTAACTGAAGCTTTACCCTCGGAACAGTTAGAAGACTGAATTATGTAAGATACATCCATACACATTAAATAGCTTAACTGTAAATTTGTTTCATACACCAGTAAAAGCATGGAAAAACATGATATAAGAATCACAGGTTTAAGGAAATTTGAATTAGTTTTAATTACCAGTAATTTTCACTTTCTAAGGTACACTTCAGTTCATTTTAAAAAGATAACATAGTCAGTGACTGAAAGCAGTTCCTGAAAACCAGTAAAATTGGAGGAGATTTTGCGAGAATTTAAACAAGTCAAATAATAGATGAAAAAGTGCTGTCAGATAGTATGATTGTGAAATTTAGAACAGTACATGATTCAACAGCTTACTTAATATAATAAAGTGTTTTATTAGAGAGAGAGAGAGACTGGCAGCTGATTTTCTGAATGCATTGCTCGTATTTACTTGGTGTGAAAATTGATAGATGAGGAATTATTTAAAGTGAGCTGGGGTCTACTTTCTGACGACTACGGATAGATCATGATCTATAGAGCGGTAACTTCAGTGAACACTTTCCTAACATAAATTTTATTAGGTGCTGATGTGCAGTTATTTGATTAGTCTTCGATTTTGGTCATGAATTGACATCGGTTACAGAACCACTGAAAAACAGACAGTACTGGACAGCAGCAGGCAGTCACTGGGGTTCGAGTCCAGGACATTCTGGTTACAAGTTGAGCTTGTAAGCCATTAAGCCACTGACACCCTATCCGACAGTCCACACATCTCAGATTCCAAAGCGAAGTCACCTGGAATTTTTGT